ATTTTATCAAAAATTGCAAAATTCCAAAAATCACGCCAAACAAAAATACGGAATAAAATAAGCAGTCTGCGAAAAATCTAGCCTAAATCGGGTTAAAAATCATCTCCTAACATACAATCGAAATATTACCAAAAATAGCAAAATTTAACTAAAAATAACAATTCGAAAGGGAAAACAACGGAATTTGAGATTGAAAACAGCACACACCGAGCAAAGATCGTGGCCACAACGTGTGTGCCGAAACAAGCTTTCTGGATTGTGGTCATAATCGCGATTCTGATAACCATAACCAAAGTTATGGCCAAATTACCGAAACATGACTCAATTACCAAAGTTAAGTGATCACTTGTTATCCTTGCTCCGATCTGCCAGCTCATGATACTTTAGAGTCATTAACATGTTATCTGACAACTTAACATCTAACTTGAACCCTCCTGCATCAATTGTGCATATACAATTGTTTTGAATGATAATAAAAATCTTCTAACTATTCCATTGTGTTTACTTTATCAATGATTCTTATTTATGCCATTTAAAATTATGACACATAAATAGACATAAAATGCTTAATGTATAAACTTGGTATGTTACCTCAGATTGATATAAATGATTTCGATATGTGTGAATATTGTGTTAAAAGGAAAATTATTCAAAAATTCATTTTCTAGACACGAAAAACATCACATTTAATTTAGGTAATTCATTCTGATTTATGTTGGCCTATGAGAACTAAAATGCACAAACATATTGATAAGTGTATTTTGTACACTTATTTGGCCAATTAAATTAGGATATTTTATAGTGTTTTTGATAAATTATAGTATAATCTCGTGTATTTATCGTTTGTTGGGTAAAACTAAGTGATTGAAGTGAAATTAAAAGAAATGAACTAAAATGGATTAAATCCAAAGTTCGGGACCAAATTGAAATATTCAATAGTTGATTCGGATCATAAAATGTTGATTGAAGATACCTTATGATCAATTTAATACAATTATAGTGAACTATAATCAAATAATTATTACAAATCAATTTCCAACCGCACAAGTTAAATTCCAGATTTTTAGCCGGAGATTTAGACATGTTTTTGGAATAGTAAACATCGCATTAGAAATTTCTACTATAATTGCATCATTTTAAGTTAGCTTTTCAACACACTTTGAATCGCCTTAATCAAATATCGGAAGAGAAATATATGACAAAAATATTGAAAACTGTGTAGAAACATAACTATGTGCGCTCGAAGGCAACTTCCCTCATTTTATTGAAACACTTTTGGAACCCAATTTGATTGTGTTTTTTGATCAAATTTCACCAAATATAATACAAGACATCGGTAGCCATTGAAGGATCTCTCTCTCACCTCTCAAACCATTCATATTATAAAATTTATCTAGAAAGAAGGGGCAAATTCAAAATAAGTTGGAGAGGAAAACAAATATAGCACGTGGATTAAATCAAGAAACATCAAGAAGGTGAAGAATCAAGGGTTGAAATTGAATATCAATAACAAGAAATCGCTTCCATATATTTCTTGTATTCATATAAATTTCACATGATGCTTTTCCAAGATGAACCTTATTATTATTTATTTTTAATTCAAAAACCAAGTAATTTAGCAAATTTCTTTTCTCGATTGATCTTGTATGCTTTGTTGAATTGTTTAATTGCTTGGTCACCAATTAGGTAACTAGTTACTTGTTGCAATTCTAGAAGACTCACAATAGATTTAGAACACAGCAATTTCAACATATAGACAATAGATGTTAAGAATAACACATATGACATGTACAATCTTGTTGATAATCTTGTGATTTAATGCATGTTATGTATATGAATTTGGACTAAAAATATGATCGAGTCGTATTTATAATATAATTAACTTATCTTGGAAAAGAAAGTTAAATATAATTGGATTATCGATTGTCATGTATATACAAATGTGTTAAGGTGCATAGGTTGACAATTTGAATAGGATAATAATTGGTGGATTCGGAACTCTTAACATATTCATCGCATATGTAATTAATAATAATTTAGACAACTAGTAGATTAGGTTAGATACATAAAAAAAAATTCTCGTTTATTTTACAACACTTGAATTTGATTACAAATTAATATAATTTAATTTAAATCTTATTTCCTATGGGACACTATTCTTAACTCATTAAATCTATTACTTGTCAATGATTCCTTACGCTTTATATTATTTAGTAATCACATATATTTCTTAGAGCATAAATAAGAGGCTTTAGAAAATTTTAAAATATATAAAAGGGCAGTGGAGACTCAGCTGGGTTGTCAAATCATATATGTCGTCGGGGTGGACCAAGACCATTTTTCTTGTGGGGTTCAAAAATGTTTAGGTAAAAATAAATAAATAAATAAAAGAAACTCGAGGAAACTCAAAAAAAAAAAATTAAATAAATAAAAATTGTGGGGTCATTTGACCCCCACATGACTCCATGTGGGTCCGCCCCCGTATGTCGTGATGGAAAATAAGAAGGCTTTGATGATTTCTGCAAATAATGGTATAAAAAGAATTCTAATGGATATTACGAGATCAATGACGGCACATGCTAATTTCCCTCTACATTTTTGGGTTGAAGCATTATCAACGGCGACATATATCTTGAAGGGAAACCATGATTTTGAAAATGCAAAGCTATTTGAAAAAGATAAACCAACAACCACTGAGACAAGTGATTTTAACGAGAATCAAAATATTATCCACGATCAAATAGAGAACAATGTTGTCGATGTAGATATTCCTACTTATCCCAAAGAGGTGGGATAAATAGAAAGAGAGAGTCATCTCAAAAGTTAAAAGACTACATAGTCTGCGATATTCAAGAAATAAAACTAGATGACAATCACAGATTATATATTGAAGCTATTCAATCTTCGAATGGTCAAAAGGTGTGAATCCATTAAAAATAACAATGTATGGGAATTGGTTGTTTTGCCTAAAGAGAGAAAACCCATTGGATATAAATTAGCATTGAAAAAGAAATTAAAGGAGGATGGTAGTCTAGAAAAGTACAAGGTTAGACTAGCTACTAAGGGCTTGCTTATGAGTCTTTTTCACCGATTTTGGGTGGCACCATTTATGAGGGATTGATAAAATCGATATTTGCTATTTTTTTAAACACCAATTTTGAATGGTTTAAGAACCACCCAAAATTTGTGGTATAATTTTGACTGATTCTCTCAACCCATCAAGTCAACGAATTTTGACCGTTTCTCATCTCCTCTTCTAATTTTACCCTTCATAAAATAATTATTTTCAATCAACATATTTTCTTCAAAACTAACTTGTGAATAAAAACATATTATCTAAAAAATTATTTAAAAGCAAAAAATACATAATAATTAAAAAATTACTTATAAGTAAAAAATCACTTTTGTGTTAAAAAATTCATTTATAAAATAAAATACAACTAATAAGATAAAAATTCTCTTATAAAATATAAAAAGTAACTTATACGTAAAAAAATTCAATCAAAATTATTTAAAAGTATAAAATTAACTTATAATTCGTCGAGTGTTCTTCTCGCATCAATTATTACTCAAATCACAGGTTGCTCTATATTTCATGAAGTTGGAAGATTGGAGCTCTAGTATGTTCATATTTTAGTTTACAAATTTAAACTTTAAATTTCAAAAGAATTTGGTGCAAAAGGTCCTATCCTTTTCCAATAGTGTAATTGGTCCAAATCTTTCAAATGTCGCGCAAATTATCCCAAACCTTTTCGATTTTAACATAAATGGTCCTTTTGGATGGTTTATTTTATGGACAATGCTACTTGTACATTAGCATGTACATAAGGGTGTACATAATGTGAGTGGAGGTGGGGCCTACGCTACAGTGTCGCGGGCTCCACCACACTCACATTATGTACACGCTTATATACACGGTAATGTACAAGTAGATTAATCCTTATTTTATAAGGGTCGTCAAGTACATGTGTCACTTCACTCTCGCCAATAAACCCAAAAATTATGTGTCGATATATTTAATATAGAAACATAACCATTTCAAAATATTGTTATTTATGTTAAGAGAAGATGGATCCCAATATATGCTACTCTGACCTACCATTGGTGATGTAGATTTCGTGGAAAAATCTAAATAGTGAGAAATGCTTTCTTTCATGCAAGCGACGACGGCTTATATGCGATTTAGAATTTCTCTTTTGGGAAAATGGTTGTATGCAAAAGTTCCTAAACTATGTTATTTATTTATTTATATATTTTTTTTTTTATTTTGGATAGGATTTAGGTGGTTATGAATTTTGTGAGGTGCAACCCACCCACATAACATAGATGTAAAGATACAATGTCGGGCATTGTTGAGTTCCAATAGAAGGTTGTGAGAAGAAACATATACTTGAAGATAAAGAAAAATGAATTTATCTGGAAGATTTGGTTTTTGAAATTTGCTTGATGATTGATGTAACGTGATTGTATTGATATAATTTTTGAGTTCATAGACGAGAGTGAACTAACAATTTGTACTAGATAAAAATGCCCCTACAAATAAAAAACTGTAAGACCAAACTAACGACCATTGTAGATGAAATCCGTCCAAAGGGACCATTTAAGCCAAAATTTAAAATGTTTAGAACTATTCACATCATATTTTAAAGTTATGAACCAATTATGCAATATTAGAAAAGGTTGAACTATTTACGCCAACTTCCCAATTTCGAGCACATTTCAAGTACTTCCCTTACAACATTGAGTACAGCCTTCACTCCACGTCATCCAAACTACATGGATAATGGATCCCACACAAGTTTACGACTGATCTGGATCACAGTCGTTTAGCACAAAACGGCGCCGTATAAAACTCACGCACAGCACATGTATTATCTCCGAACTCTTTGGTTTCATCAGCTCCTCTGGCCCCTCTTCTCCTCTGGCGGATTCCCCAAACACACACTCTAAATCTTTCTCTCTATATATATATGTGTTGTAGAGTGAGTTTGGTATGAGCAATGGCGGCGTCCTTTGGAACTGCTACGGCGTCGGCGACTGAGAATGCCCTCAAATCATCCACTTGTTTACAGCTCTGTCATCGCCCTTTCCTCAGTTCGAGCTCCAAGGTGTCATTTCGACTCTCTCACAAGCCCAAGCTCCGATTCTCCTCCAAGGTAATGAAATTAAAATTTAAACCTCTTATTTGATTATGATGTTGATTGTTGTGATGAAGAATGGTGGAGTTTTGTGAGTGTGTGTGTTATATCCTACACATATAAAAAGAGTGAGATTCAAATCACTGTAGAAACTCTCGTCCAAAACGACGTCGTTTTGGTGTTGATTTTTTTTTTT